ATCAATCAATCAACTAGGAAATGCACAAATTAAGAAACAAATAAACAAGAAAATAAATACATAAAATCAAGCAGGCGGTCATGCAAATAGTACATTTCCAAACGAGTCCCCCCGCCTCTTATTTTGGGTAAAAAAAAGGTAAAAGTCACAGAAGGAAGAAAAGCCGGCAGGGCAAGCAGAACAAAACCAAAAGAAAAATAGGAGTCGCCGAACGTCCAAGATCGTTAAATCCAGGCAAAGCTATAGCAATGGTCATCTGCCCTATCATTGTTCATTTTACTACTTAGCGCGCGCATCGATGCAAAACGTGGAGTATGAATTTGCGTGCGCAGAAACAATTAGCGCGAACGTCCTTAGTGCCTGCTAGCTCTACGCTAGTTCTGGCATTCCATCTTCTGCCACTAGACCATAGTGTAGCTTATACAACATGCAAAGTCTCATTGCTTTCTTGCTGCTTTGAAGCGATTTCCATCCCAGCTGATCAAGTATTTCTCCCACAGTAGCGGTGTAGATGGCAGAAAGCTTCCCAGTGCTATCAGAGAGGGATTTAAATATGAAAACAAACTTGGTGGTTGAATGATAAAACAGTTATTGAACTCGGTTGATCTTCTCATTACTAATAAATCCCGATATTTTGCACAACTTTGTCGAATAATTCTTAATTATTTTTCGCGATTTCACTGCGCAGAAATATTCCAAAGGTCAAACGAGTTAGCGGACTTTCGGTGTGTTCTGTGTCAAAAAAGGGACTTGCTAACGATTGCGCCTACTTGATAAAATTACTAACATGGCGCTGATTTAACATCTTCTGAAATTTTGAACGTGATTCGTGAACAATCTACTTTGTTTGTTTGTTTGTTAAACTGGATCTGCGTTGTTCCCTTGCACACTCTTTCAAGGTCTTCTGGCGACAAAACGTATTTTTCGACTTGCACTTACTAAATTTTCACACCAAAACATCGACACTCCGCGCGAAAAAAAAAATTAATACATGAACGAAAAAAAATAATAACCTCGCCGCTGGGTCGAGATTGGTTAATAAAAGACGATTTGGGTACGATAAATTATTGGAAACACGACCATGAAATTGTTACTAGCAAATATATTTATTTCTTAAAGAATAATAAACCTCTTAAAACATTAACATTAACATTAAAAAAATACCTCTGATTTGAATGTTCATAAAAGCAGCTGACGGAGCATAAGAAATTCAAGACATTACAATACAAGCTGTAAAAGTAAGAATAATGCTTACACTAAGCAAAATACTGCACTATTTTCAAAGCTATCTATGGTGCAACACCGAATTAGAAAACTTAGAGACTAGAATTAGAGACTACCGTAACCTTATGACGGCCATGCACCTTTTTAGTCCGAAAAAATTAGTTTCTCATATCCATAAAACCCTGTACAGCTTACATATCTCATTAATACAACTAACGAAGTACACGGTGTCCATAAGGTGACAAGCTATGTGACAGATAAAAAAACAGGATTCGAAAACAAACGGGGGAGAGGTGGGGGGTTCGTCTCAGTAATACTCCTCTTTTGTGTTGGTTCTGTGTTGGCTCGCAGAGAATTTTGAACCAAAGAAACTCGGTTTAAGATGCGTACTTTACAGTGATTATGTAATCCTACTAAAACAACTGCATGTCTTGAAACACGAACACTTCATGAGGGATGATTTTATATCCGAATTTCGCGTTTACCGCGCTTCGTTAATAACGAACAAAATTTTCTGAACCGAGCTAAACCGTTTAAGCGGGGATGAACTGTAGAAATAAAATAGAGTATGAATGGATGATCCTAACTAAAATGTAACGTATATGTGTACTAGAATGTATCTGCCTAGATAGCTGAGGGACGGACCATTGTTTTTTTCAGGCGAGGGGGGTTGGGCAATTTTCTGGGGCATGAATCTCGTCCTCACCTTTAGGTTGTGCATGCCTTTTTGGGGGTGGGCAGCAGCTTGAGCAAGAACTTTATTACCATCAAATACTGCTTGATTTTTCCCCATGGCTCCCTGTTGCAATATTTTTGTTCAACAGTTTTTATCGAGCGAATTTTTTTTTTTTTTGGGGAGGGGGGGGGGCCACCCCCCTCAGCAAAATAATGTTCCGTCCCTATCCCGTTAAATATAACTACAAAGATAAGCTTGAAATTTCCCCAACCTTCTCGGTAAAAATCGAAAAACCTTACATAAAAGTTCAGCATAAAATCAATACGCAACAATAGACATTAATTAAAACAATAATAATGATTCTGTTCTGTGTAATAACTGATACAAAACTGGGACTGAATTAGACCTTTCCACAAATAACACGTAAAATCGCCTAATTATCTTTCCAGACATTCTAAAAAAAATTTCTAAATATCACAAATATTTAAATATAAATATCTACACACCGATTTTGAATCACCTAGGCTAAAATGTACAACTTATTCTTGCATGAACAGGAGTTGAGAGAGACGATCCAGGCCAACCTCGATACCTGGGAACGAGGTTGGATTCAGGCACGTCGATGTCACCAGGATACGCCATTTCGGAAAATTGCTGCTTTAGCGCTTTTAGTGATATAGAATACACTTTTGAAGTGGGAAACCGCTGGACTGGGTTGTTTCTGGCATAAAACCGCATATTGTTTCAAGAAAATAGCGAGGAAAACACGGGGCTAGGCCAAACAAAAATCTATGGAAATTTCTAACTATCCTAAAACTTTCGAATTATCTTAACATTTTCTAAATATCTTGGAAACTTCCAAATATCTCAGAGGATATCCGGATATTTGTGGAAAGGCCTCTGCTTCTGGAGGGACATCTAATCTTAGAACACAAAAATTAAAGCGATTCCACAGTAAAATTTGTTACGACACATCGGGAGTACCGTAAAGTTCTTATTGTCTTGTTAATATCTGAATTTCACGTTTATCGCGCTTCTTTAATCACGAACAAAATTTTCTGAACCGAGCTAAACCGTTAAAGCGGGGATGAACTGTAGAAATAAAATGGAGTATGAATGGATGATCCTAACTAAAATGTAACGTACATGTGTACTAGAACGAGGGACGCACCATTATCTTTTTCAGGGGAGGCGCGAGGGGTTGGGAAATTTTCTGGGACGTGAATTTTGTTCTCACCTTTAAGTTGTGCATGACGTTTTTTTGGTAGGCAATAGCTTGTGCAGGAATTTTTTAACATGAAAAATCAAAATAATGATAGTAGAAAGCACTTGCTTGATTTTTTTCCCCATGGCCCCCTGTTGCAAGATTTTTGTTCAGCAGTTTTTACCGTGCGGGATTTTTTTTCCCGAAATTGCCCACCCCCGTGCCCCCGTCCCCCATCAAAAAAATAATGTTCTGTCCCTAACCCGTTAAATATAACTACAAAGACAAGATTGAGATTTCTCCTAACCTTCTCGGTAAAAATCGATAAACCTTGTGTAAAAGTTCAGCATAAAATCAATCAAAACGCGACGATACACATTAATTAATACACAATAATAATGATTCTATTCTGTGTAATAACTGATACAAAGCTGAGGAGGGGATTAGACCTTTCCTTTCCACAAATATCACGTAAAATCGCCTAATCTTTCCGCAATTCTCAAAAAAAAATTCTAAATATCACAAATATTTAAATCTAAATATCTACACACCGCTTTTGAATCACCTAGGCTAAAATGTTCAACTTTGTCTTGCATGAATAGGAGTTGAGGAAGACAAAAATGTCAGAATGCTTTCACATTTTCACAACTTCAAATTATTGACCTTATTTCTTGACACTTATGTTAGCGTCGAACCGCTTTGATTTTGGTATTCTTAGTGGAATACCTGATCTAATACTATGAAAATAAACTATGAAATATCATTTAAGTTAAGAATGGGTGATGGTCAGTTAACCACCTGGAACAACATACTTCCCGATACATTTGTTGAAGTCGTCAAGATGGACGAATCTCATGGCGCAGTAAAGATTGAATCGGGAGTAAGGCATGGGCTGGTAATTGGTCTCTCGAGAAAACACGTATCCCTTCCAGAAGCTGTGGCTTGTTTGGTTGATTAGCTGTTGGTTCAGCTCGTCAATTCTGTCCGCATTGAGAAATTTGTTGCTTGACGAGTACTTTTCACTGAAAATGTAATCCAACTGCCATACTGGGTTTGAGAATTCTGCCAAAAAATAGGATAGAGTCAATCGATCTAAAACGTGTAATATTCTTGCTGAGGCAGTGTCCACATTACGCCAGCAAAATTTGAAAACGCAGCTTTATTTCTACGGTTAGGCCTACCGTCCACACTAATCCGGCACGAAAACGCTCTTCAAACCGGAGAAATTTGAAAACGCA